CCTGTGCTTCATGGTGCCCTGTCTGGGTTGGCTGGCCTCGGGCTATTGGCCAAGCTCCTCCAAGCTGCCTGGGGTGGGGCTGGGAGTTCCAGCTGGGTCTCTGGGGTGCTAAGGTGGGAATGAGGCCAATGGGGGGGCAGGTAGGGCAGGCGGGACAGGGGTCACAGGCAGGTTAGCTACTCCTTCGCCTGCTTACCCTCCTGCCTGCAGGACTCTGGCTACATGGTCGCCTTGCGAAGCTACGTCACTGATGACTGCAGCCTCCTGAGCTTCCACCGCGGGGACCTCATCAAGCTGCTGCCAGCGACCAATCTGGAGCCAGGTCTCTCCAGGGGCAAGCAGGGCGTGGACAAGGAGGGTGGCACGTGGGGAGGCTCCGAGGGCAGGGGGCCGGGCGGCTGAGGAGCCGTCCTTTCACGTGCCTTCCAGGCTGGCAGTTTGGCTCCACCGGGGGCCGCTCCGGACTCTTCCCTGTGGACATCGTGCAGCCGGCTGCTGCCCCCGACTTCTCCTTCTCCCCGGGGCGGAGCGCTGACCGGCGCAAGAGTCAGCTGCTGCTCGGAGAGCCGGGCCCAGCTCAGAGGGAAAGGGTGCTGGAGGTGAGGGAGACAGGAGAGAAGTAGGAGTCAGGAAGGAAAGGGCTCCGTTGCCCCAGAGCAGTGAGGATCACCCTGCCACCCTCTCCTAGTTTCTGGCCTCATCTCCCCAGCAGGACTGTGAGCTCCCTGCGGGCAGGGGCTGCACTGTCTGCCCCTCGAGTGTCCCTGGTGGGGCTTAGTTCAGTGCTGCCCTAGAAGATGCTCAATAAAAAGCTCTTGACTCTCCTGACTGGTGGTGTGCTCATTGCAGCTGCTCTGCCTGCTCCTCTAGGCTTGTGCAGGGCGGGGCTGGGCTGGGGCTGGGGCTAGGGCTGGGGCAGGGTCTCTGGACGGGGAGTGGGCTCTCGGGTGGCACCAGGTCTCCTGTGCTCTCAGGGCCCCTCCCGACCCCAGAGCCGGGCACATAGTGACAACTCGGAGGCCAGCAGCCTGCCCTTCTCTGCGGTCTCTGCTGCTCTGTCCATGGACTCCCACAACTACACCATGCAGGAATTTGCTCTGAGATACTTCCGGAATCCCCAGCCCTTGTGAGTGTCCTGAGCCCACCCCTATGCCCATTTGTCCTCAGTTTCCCTGAAGTGGGCTTCCCTGCTCAGGGCTACCAGGCCACAGCCTGGGATGGGGCGGAAGGGCTGAGCAAGCAGGGCTGTGCTCCCCTCTGCCCCCTCAGGCTGGCCCAGGCAGGTGGAGGCGCTCAGGGGAAGGCCATGACCAGCCTGGTGCAGTACACCAAGGTAGGCAGACAGGCGGGGAGGAGTCGGGCCAATGGACCTGCCTCTGGGCCCCACGGACCCCAGACCCACAGCCTGGCCTCTTTGGCTACAGGTTCCCATCCAGGAGTCCCTCATCGACTTCGCTGATGAGGACATGAACAGGCAGGCTGTGGAGAGCTTCCAGCGTGAGTGGCTAGCCTGGGTCCCCATGTCTGCGGTGCCTTGGACCTAGGCATCCCGTCCCTCTGGTGGGTGCACCGCGTGGGGCTGTGGATACCCACCGAATGCCTCTGAGCCTTGCTTCCTCGTTGGTAAAGCTGAGCCTGCCGCTCTACCTGACTCACACACATTTTGAGAGCAAGGCATCAGATGGCCAGGGAAAGCCCTGTATGGGGACAGTGTGAGCCAGGGCCAGGCCCCCAGCCCAGCTCCCCATGTTTCTCATTCTGTCTGCAGTTCTGATGCAATTTATGGGGGACCAGCCTAAGCCCCGGGGCAAGGATGAAATGGATCTCCTCTATGAGCTGCTGAAGGTAAGCAGAGCTATGTGTGCTAGAAGCTGGGGAGACACCGGGAGCCTGAGGATGAATTCTTGACCTCCTGCGTGGGCCTGAACAGGATCCCCCTTCCCTTTTTCACTATTCATTTGAATCACACACAAGTATTCATTGAGCACCAACTATATGCTGGTGGGCATGGCAGTGAGCCAAGCAGGCTAAGTCCCGGCAGAGCTTACACCCTAGTAGGGNTGGACGGGGAGTGGGCTCTCGGGTGGCACCAGGTCTCCTGTGCTCTCAGGGCCCCTCCCGACCCCAGAGCCGGGCACATAGTGACAACTCGGAGGCCAGCAGCCTGCCCTTCTCTGCGGTCTCTGCTGCTCTGTCCATGGACTCCCGCAACTACACCATGCAGGAATTTGCTCTGAGATACTTCCGGAATCCCCAGCCCTTGTGAGTGTCCTGAGCCCACCCCTATGCCCATTTGTCCTCAGTTTCCCTGAAGTGGGCTTCCCTGCTCAGGGCTACCAGGCCACAGCCTGGGATGGGGCGGAAGGGCTGAGCAAGCAGGGCTGTGCTCCCCTCTGCCCCCTCAGGCTGGCCCAGGCAGGTGGAGGCGCTCAGGGGAAGGCCATGACCAGCCTGGTGCAGTACACCAAGGTAGGCAGACAGGCGGGGAGGAGTCGGGCCAATGGACCTGCCTCTGGGCCCCACGGACCCCAGACCCACAGCCTGGCCTCTTTGGCTACAGGTTCCCATCCAGGAGTCCCTCATCGACTTCGCTGATGAGGACATGAACAGGCAGGCTGTGGAGAGCTTCCAGCGTGAGTGGCTAGCCTGGGTCCCCATGTCTGCGGTGCCTTGGACCTAGGCATCCCGTCCCTCTGGTGGGTGCACCGCGTGGGGCTGTGGATACCCACCGAATGCCTCTGAGCCTTGCTTCCTCGTTGGTAAAGCTGAGCCTGCCGCTCTACCTGACTCACACACATTTTGAGAGCAAGGCATCAGATGGCCAGGGAAAGCCCTGTATGGGGACAGTGTGAGCCAGGACCAGGCCCCCAGCCCAGCTCCCCATGTTTCTCATTCTGTCTGCAGTTCTGATGCAATTTATGGGGGACCAGCCTAAGCCCCGGGGCAAGGATGAAATGGATCTCCTCTATGAGCTGCTGAAGGTAAGCAGAGCTATGTGTGCTAGAAGCTGGGGAGACACCGGGAGCCTGAGGATGAATTCTTGACCTCCTGCGTGGGCCTGAACAGGATCCCCCTTCCCTTTTTCACTATTCATTTGAATCACACACAAGTATTCATTGAGCACCAACTATATGCTGGTGGGCATGGCAGTGAGCCAAGCAGGCTAAGTCCCGGCAGAGCTTACACCCTAGTAGGGTGAGACAGTCAGTGAACCAGGGGCAGTGTGTCAGGGCGTGAAAAATGCTGTGGGGAAGGCAGGGGAAGGGGCTGCGACAGTGCAGGCTTGGCGACAAGGTGATACCTGAGCAGAGATCTGAAGGAAGCCAGGGAGTGAGGTATGTGTGCATTGACAGAGAGAGGGGCAGAGGTGACAGTCCTGATGAGAGGGTGAGCCTCAGCACCAGCAAGGCCAGCGTGGCCGGAGCCCAGTGAGCTAGAGGAGAGCAGAGGATGGGGCCCAGGAGGGACAGTGGATCCAGGTCACTGCAGGCCTTGCAGGTCATGGTCAGGACTTTGATTTTTTTCAAGAGATAAAGAAAAACCACTGGAGGGTTTTGAAGAGAGATGTGGCTTATGTTTGCCGGGGCCACTGTAGCTGTTGCTTGCTATCCTGGGAGCCTAAGGGCAAAGGAGGTTATTGCAATGATCCCAGGTGAGAGGTGGTGCTGGGGTCCGAGAGGTGGCAGCAGAGAGCAGAAGACTCAGAGAAGCGGGTTCTGGGGAAAGAAATGCGTGTCAGACATGAGAGAGGGGCCCGGATGCCACAGGCCTTGGCCAGAGCAATGATTGTGTTTGATAAGGAAGCCTGAGGGAGGAGCGGGTCTGGGCTGCTGGAGGAATTTCGGACATGCGGGGTCTGAAGACACAGGGCTCCGAGGGGAGGGCCTGCGGTTCAAGGGAGAAGTCTGGGCTGCAAGCAGGCACTGGGTCATCAGCAGATGCAGGCAGTTAAGAAAATCAGGGAGTGAGTACAGACAGAGGTCAAGCAGGTAAGGAGAGTCAGCAGAGGTGACTAAGAGGGACCAGAGAAGGCGGAGGACAGGCCGAGCATGGCCAGGAAGCAGGTGAGGACAGTGACTTCGAGTGACCAGTTGTGCGGATGCTGTTAAGCTGAGACAGAGAGATGACCATGGGACTGTCACCTTGACTTGGCCCCCAGCCTCCAGCCTTTAGCAGGATTTCTGTCCCCCTGACTTCAGATCCCACGCCATCCCTACCATACTCTACCTGCCCCCCGATGCCCCTCCCGTGTCCACCTGCCCTTTCTGTCCCCACAGCTATTCCGGGAGAAAGAGAACCTCCGGGATGAGATTTACTGCCAGGTCGTCAAGCAGGTCACAGGACATCCTCAG